AATCTATCCAACATACACCTACCATATTCAGGTAGGTAGGAATCTCTTTGAAGTTCAGAACTTATTGAGAGGGAACCTCTGTAATTATGGAATGAAATCAAATAGGTTTTAAGGAAGAATGTGAATATTGACAAAGACTAAGAAATAAAAGAAAGTAGACTGGATGCAGAACAGTAGTGGAAATTATTAAGAAAAAAGGAGAGTCCAAAGCCAACAAGGAGAAAAGTCCTAAGGAGAAACTTAAGAATTTCAGAAAGCTACTAGAAGAGACATTAAAATATTTGTATTTTACTAATAACTGAGTCAAAGAAAAATGGAAAAGTACATTAAAATGCTGTATTGTATGAAGTTATCTAAGATAGCTTAGAAAGGTAGATTAGATCAGCACCCTGATCACTGTCAAGTCAAAAGCTACTCTGATGGAATCTCTACAGGGGGGAGAAGGAGCAGAGTTCTAACCAAACTATGCCAGCAAATCTGGAAAATGACCCAGTGGCCAACAAATTAGAAGAGGTGAGGCTACATATCAATACCAAAGAGCTGACACTTACCAGATCATGCAAATTATCACATAATATGCTGTATTAATTCCACATACTAGCAAAATAATATTAGAATCATCCAATGCAATTCAGAGCCCAACCTGAAATGGGATACATCAGATGTTCACACTGGCTTCAAAGCAAGATACATTATTACTTATGAACAATTGAGAATGCCAAACAATGCCAAGGTCAATATATGTTTTCTTGATAAAAAGGTCTTTAAATTGTATCAACCATGTCAAGTTGTGGAACGTTCTTCGGAAAATCCCAGAATACTTTATTGTTCTCATGTTATCTCTTCAAAGCAGGTTAGAAAATAGACTTCACAACTTTGATTGGAATTATTTTATTTATTTATTATTGATTTATTGATGTAGGCTATAGTTAAAGAATCTCAAAAGCCTCCCTATGTTTTCTTTCTTTCCTTCTTTTATCCCACTGATTAGGGTATAGCCAGGGAAAATGTTTTCTGCTTCCCATGCTTAACAAATGCTTGTTTTTGTAACTCTTTCTGCATCAGTCCTTCACCTCTATAGCTCTCTACATCTGATGCAAACATATACAAGAACAGAAAGTCACAGTCAAGAAATGAGATTACAGTTACATATAAAAAGACAACCAGATGACCAAACCATTCTTGGAACTGACAGTGAAAATTGGTGGATAGCTTCTTCTTAGAATTGACAATTAATCAGCAGTGAAGAAATACCCAACCACACTTGGCAGGGTAGCAATGAAAGCCTTGGAAAAAAAATATTCAGATGTTGTGACATGTCTATACCTACAAAGATCAGAACAGTTTTTTTCTGTAAACTCCATGGAAGCAAAAGTTGAACTCTGAAGAAGCAAAACAGAAACAGCTTTTGAACTGCAAATATCATGGACAGCCAAAAAACAAACACATGTATCATATAATAAATCCCAAGCACTCACTTGAGGTACGAATAACTAGGCTCCAATGATCATATTTTGAATACATTATGCAAAGACTCGGCTCTTTTAAAAAGTCCATAATGTTGGGAAAGCTGGAAAGAAAGATTAAAAAGGGAAAGCCAGTAGCAAGGTGGAAGACACGACTGCAGTGACGATGGGTGCACTGTTGGGAGTCCTGGAGGGCCAAGTTGGGAACAAATCATCTTGGGAATTTCTGTCTATGTAGATACATTGATTTAATGGCACATAATCAAATCAATCAATAGTGAAATGATCCACTTGTCAGTGCAGGAAAACCTCCACAAAGAGGTCAGGTGCACTATGATTAATTTCATCTGCACGTCCACCTCAAAAGGCAATTACAGGGATGTCTTTCCTTTGAGAGAAAACCAACAAGGAGAACAGCTAACTGGGTCTCATTAATGAAGGACACACTATGGATTTTCACGTTCTGCCATATTACTGACCTTTTCTAATTAATTAAATCAGATCCTGAATGGACCTTTGTGCTTCAGAACATCTCTGCAGAAACAGCATTACCATGCTAAACCAACCTCTCTAGTTTCCACCCTAACCATGTTCCTAACCATACCACCAGGAAGTAGGGGCATATCTTCATGTCCCTCCACTCAGGATAAATGCATTATTAATATTACTTTATCACCATCTTCATTACTACATCACCACTCCATCATTCAAGAAGATCAGGTGAATTATTAATCTGTAGAGGTAATATAGTACGAGTCTACTAAGGGGAAATTATCTCTGCTCATCCATATTGCTTATTGATGACTTTGAACAAGTCACTTTTTCTTAGCTCAACTCACTTTACATACTGCATAGATAAAATTAGGCACATCTGAGATAAACTATGTGGTTTTCTTAGATAAATTATTATTAATGTAGGAGCTTTATGAGTTTTAAAAATAGATCCAAATCCAGAAAAATGCAAAGGCAGATGGCAATATATTATTAAATCTGAAAGCAACTAGCAGAAAATGGCCAATTATGTTTACCTGTCCATTTTTTGACAATTATATAATAATTATATAATTGTCACCACCTACTCAAAATTATATTTCTGAAATAGAAAAGCTTGGTGGGAGTAGATGGCTGGGAATGGATTTTTGTATAGAAAGATAGCAGGTTATATTTGGTACTGGTACCCAAAATAAATTCCTTAAATTTAAATGCCATGTTATGCCAAATTCCAGTTAGTAAATCTCATTGCTCTGGTAAATAAAATCTGAAATATTTTCCACTGCTCTAATCCCTGGAAGATTATGCCATAATAAACCAGTTCATTTAAAAATATTTTTCCTGTGGTCAGTGAACTTGAACAACCAGTTTGAGAAGGAGACTGAATTACATAGTAATACTATCTTTGTCAGCTAGCCTTCTTTAACCTGTTGATTTCCTGGTATGTTTGAATGATATTTCCATCATCACCTTGGGGACAATATGGGTTACAGACTAATATACTTCCTGGGCACCACCCTGAGAAAGACTATTCCAAAGACTGCTGTATTATTTATTTATAGTTCTTATGCTACTCAGAACTTTCAGTGCTATTTACTTAACTTGTAGCTTCCACATTGATTTATGTCTATGAGTATGTGGATTAATAATCAATGACATATTTAAAAAAATCTCTGCCCTGAGTTACTCCCATAACACTTTTTGAAACAAAAAGCACCTCTTTTCACCCACACAATCTTGCTGGTGAAAATTAAATGGATTGACAAGGATAATGGGACTGTTTTTTCAATGAAAGATTACACTTCTGGCAGGAGGTAAAAAGGATTTAGCAACTCTGCCCTGACCAAAAAACACACATATAGAAGGTACCAAGTAAATAAAACCTTGATCAGCTGATAAGGAAAAGGGGAGTATGGAAGATAGATTTTACCAACTTGGCAGAAATAATCCAACTACTTAGTTTACATATTATTAGACATTTCTCATTTTATTAATATGGAAATCAAAGCTGTCACAAAATAGCATTCTAAACATTATTTCCATTTGTGCTGAAATATTCTAAAGCTGATTAAGAAGTTCCTATATTTCTATATTTTCAAAACACAATCAACCTTAGATATAGCCTAATAGGCAGTGCTAAACACTTGTGATACGGTATTTTCCATTTCTTAACATTACTAAAGAGTGGATAAAATATTGGTAATTAATATTAATTTACTTTAATGATGATGATATATTTCTACCGCAAAAATCTGTCAGTAGGTATGGGTATTGCCACAATGGTCTTAAAGAACAAAAACTTAAAATTCAAAATTCAATGTGGCTACTTTATATTGTTATACAAACACAGTAGTGTTAAAATGATAACTACTCATCTATACACATGCACATATTGTGTTTAAATCTAGTTCTTTCATTAAATTTATAATTGTGATCCAGGTCAAATCTATTTTTAATCCTCATTAACACTAATACCAACTAAACACTTAATCATAATTAAAATGGGAAGAAATTATCTCCCCCTGGAGAAATGGTGAAGACAGACAGAAATAGTATATTGCATATATAATAGCATAGTGATCAGATATTTTGATACGGTTAACTCGTTAATCCACCAAGGAAAATAAATTTCCTTATAGTTGTTTTTCCCTCTGTGATAAGAAAATGATGAACGAATTTGAGGAAATACACCAGAGATTTCAAAGAACCACTGAAAATTCTGTGAATGTGGCTGGAAGATAACACTTTAAAAAATCCCCTGGAAATACTTTCATTCTCTAAATCACAGTTAAAGATTAATTTAATTGGCTGTAACATCTCTTCAACTTTTAATTCCAATTCAAATTAACACATATATAAATCAAGCAACAACAAGTTAAAAGTAGCTGTATATTCAAATTCTACTCATGATTTTATGAAAATAGTGGAGCATTTAAACAGTAGGGGGTAGGGGGAAAGAATCTTCCTAATGGTCTGAGGACAGATCACACTAAATACAGAATTATCCTCCATCTAAAGTTATTGTTCTGCAGCTTTAATACTTGAGGAATTCTACCCTTGCAAAATTTTACTTCAGTCCTATGTCCACGCTGTAGGGCCAAGTGAAGTGAGACATCTGCTCTATATATTTAAAGTCACCATATAGGATTCCAAAATATGCAAGGAGCCTGTATTAATGAATCATGAGCATCCACACAAACTTCGCACTAACCTATAAACAATAGGAAGAGATAACTTGTCATAAAATCCCGAGGGAAGAGTTTTTACTGTACTTCAGTAGGAAGATTTTGCAAGTCTTACTGAACTAAAGTTTCATCATACTAAGATAGTATATCCTTTGATGGTTGACAACTACTATGTTCTTTCTTGACACAGACTCCAGAATAAGTTATAACTTAAAATCTTTTATTACATAATAATTTCAGACATAACACTCCCCCCTAGATTATCGCAACCAGAAATTTTATGATTGGGGGCTTCACAGCTACAGATAGCATCATATCACTCTTCACAAGTGTCAGTTCTAGGACTCTCAGCTCCTACCTGTCTGGGTGAACCCTGGCTTGTATCCATTGGCTGTTCCACTCTCAGGGGTCACAGATGGAGATGCTGATGAACTAGGATTAGCAGAATGGCTAGCAACAGAAGAGTGCCTGCTTCTACATTCTGCAAGTAAAGCAGCTATAGTACATATTTAAGCAGCCAGGTTGACAGTGAGACAATGCAGCAGGACAGATATTGTATGCAAAAAAACAAAACAAAACATAGTTATTGTGCAATCAAAAGAGCTAATTAAAAAGCAAAGTTCTTGGAATTTGTTAAAGATTATTTTCAGTTTAGAAACATTTAGAAAATTCATGCAGCAGCCATGAGCCTAACTTTGTTATGGGAAATACAAGAATAATTTCAAAGAAAGCATAGCGTCATACAGAGAGATCTTAAAATCAGATATGACTGAGATTACCATTGTCTTCATTTCTTGTCCATGGGAGAAAAGATAACATCAGGACAAAGGGCTTTTATAGAACTGCAACATCAGTATACTCCTCATATTGTCTACAGAAACACTTCTAGGACACTGCGCCAGACAAGCCTTACTTATTGTTCTAATATATAAGACCTTGCACAAGACACGGGGGGGGGGGGGTGGTTACACCAACCACAACCACATCTACAGTAATGCTGTATCAATTAGGCCATGACAATGAGAAGCTGCTGACATAGAAAACAGTCTAAGCAGCCATAGGGCTGGATTATAGGGCTATTTTCAAGATGTCCTTTCTTGAAGAAAAATGTGTGACAAGACTATCATGTTAAACACAATTTTTAGCAACTTCTGGAATAAATATCCACATATGCTCATCATCAATTGCTACATGGAATTCTGTGTTTTATCCTATGCTGTTTCTGATGAACTTGATATTTCGATTAGCTTAAGTTAACTTCTTTATCTCAACTATTTTCACACATTTCTTATGCTGTATTTTTACAGCCACCTGTTTAGGAGGGAATTTAAGGCAATTTACTTCCAAGTAAACATGCATACAGTCGTTATATAAGTGTTGATTTACCATGAATTGATCTGTTACAGACTGCACTAGACCAGAGGCAGGCAAGTTGTTCCACAACATTTTTTATTGTCTACACAACAAAAATAGCTGAATTTGGGGGGGAAATTGGGGGGGGGGGGAACAATTATGCAATCTTACACCAATTAGAAAAAAATCACACCATAGCATACATGATTTTCTTAGGTTTAGCAATCCAAAAGCATTTGAATATATTTTGTTTTTTCACTGACATAAGCATAACTTTTACCTTTCAACTTCATTTCTTTATGGGCTGTCCTATGTTCCTTATTGGAAGGGTAAGATTAAGAAGAAATGAAGTAAACTACTTTGCAAGAGAAAATTAATGTGCTTTAAAGATGAATTCTATGTCCTTTAAAGATACTTGGATAACCCTAGATTGAAGAAGGCTGTTATTTAATGTGGAAAAAGGTCCTTCAGTGGCTGATAAGAAACACTTAAAACCATATATAACGTCTCACAAACTAAAAAACTACTTTTACTATATCCTATCATCTGGAAATTCCCTCTTTTAAGAAAAAGCATATCAAAACAATGTACTATTTAGCTTTTCTAAAATCCAATTCTCTTAATGTTCCTCACACTCAAGTATATCCAAGAAGATATTTCCTACCTTTCCAACATATAAGAGGTCCCTTTGACAGCACACCTTGAGCATTTCGTACTAGGAGGTATTTTAAGTGCTTCTGCTTCTTTGGCTGAGTGGTGAGTTTCAGATTAATGTGGTTTGAAAATTCAGTGAAATATCGAAATCCTCTTTCTCCACAGCCTATACAATTTCCAGAAAAACCTGCAGGGTTGGACAAAAGTATGATAGTTTTACAGTTTTTCTTGGATATTTGATAATTTTGTTTCTATTCAAGTTCTCTTCTTGGAATCTATTTAGCTTATTAATATATTTTCTCCTGCACACTGACAGTTTAAAGAACAAAGAAGAATAATGAAACCTACATTTTCCAAGTAGCGTCAAACCTCCCTTGTTTGTACCATAGGCACTTGTTCTTAAAAATGTGTAGCATGCTATCATGACAGAAGTCCCACTTTTTGTACTTGTTACAACCTGGCATAATATTAATGGCAGAATTTACTTTGTACCCATAGTGTTTTGTCACACATCACCTTCCCTGCATGGATGTCCATGCTTGAATTTGTCAGTTATATTCAAACTGTTAGGTGTCTAAATGTTAGGCTTCAAACCTTTTCCAGGCGATCATCAATTTAAGCTTAACAATCTTAAATTATTCCATCTTGCCTTGTTCCATAAAAGTCATTGAGGAAGCTTTGAAGAAAAACTTTGGAGAAAAAGAACGTCATGATGCAAAAGTCCTTTTTCCCCTCTCCTCATTAAATACCATACAAAGGCAAGTAACTTCTCTAACTTTGTATCTCTAATTTTGAACAATAGCCTCACTTATTTTGGGATATCATCTATTCAGTGCTGAATGGAAGCTCCAATAGATTTTACCAGAGGTAACTAGGAAATCTAAATAGGAAAAAACATTTCCATTCCTGTTCCAAAATACCAAAGAAGGTCAAATTGTGGACATTGTCATGGAACGATAATTGTTAGGAAAAGCAAACAGTTCATCTTTTTCTACTAGTGAATTAGTTCCAAAGCTATATTTTTTCCATAAAGAAATATTTCCTTAATTTTGTAAATAACACTACTGTTTTGTTTGAATTTTCAAAGGCTTTTTCCTTTGATATGGATAAATGATTTAAAGCTACAGGAGATACATATACTTTCAGTTCTACAGAAATTCTTGATGTAACAAATAATCCCTACTGTCACTGCAAAGACTTTTTTGCAAGTTTTTTAAGGCATAAATATGTAAAGTTCAACAAAAATTGAAAGCTCTTTATTCTGAACAATAATGTAATTTCTTTAAAACACAAAAGAAAGATCAGCAGGTCAAACCAGTTTGGCAAGGTGGCCTAAATACATCTTGAATTGCATTCTCCTAGATAGTTAGGGATATAAATATTGTGTTTGATCTACTGTAGATTTTCTACTGATTTCAGAATGGACTTTCAGAATGGACTTTACATAGCCGTGAATATATTTTCTTAATTATTATAATCCAAGGTTAGGCAATTTGTTCAGCATAAAGATACACAGGGTAAATACATTCTCAACTGTAACACCTTTGTTAGTTGGTTGCTTTAGATGTCACAGTGGCAAAGGAAAACAATGCTACTGTCCTTTTTTTTTCTTCTTAATTATGGGTTGCATCCAACAGCAACAACAAAATGGAACACCTGTCAACACACTTACTTTTATCTACCAGTAGCTTCCCCATCTCCAGAATCAGAAATCTCTTTCAAATGTTTTCAAATGGAAGAGGAAGTAATCAGCAGAACCCTATCAATATAATATTGCTTATAGCCTCATATTCTTACACCACTAGATTTAAAAACTTTATTTGGAACTTAAAAGATGGATAAATTACAGTCCATAAATTTAGAAACAGAAATTTTTGAACAACAAAAATAAGAATACACATTTATATTTTGAAAATTTCATTCACACTTTCAAAGTTAATTCTGCTTAAAGACTATTTTTCTTGTTTAAATGAAATTGGAGTTAATCTGCTTCTAAAACTCCACAAATGTTGCCAAGAAAAGCCAAAGGATGTGTCCAGGCAGTTACCAAAACTCAAGACTGACTCAAAGACACAAAGTGTATTAATTTAACTTCCTCAATATTTCACTCTTATGAGAGAAATACCATCTGCCAAAAACTAAAAATTGGATCCATTACTAAAGAAGCAAAGGAAAACGACTTCTTCCTTTACACATATTTGAAAATTTATTTCCTTGCACAAATTAAAAAAAGTTTTAAAAATTCACCATTTTTACATTAATACCAGGAACAAAGAGATTGGAACATTGGATTACTAAGCAATTAAATGACGAACATTGATAAATATTGAACTGAATATTTATCAAAAGTTTACGTGCAACACAGTGTGGAGATTCAGATATTCCACAGAAAGTATTTGCAAAACCACAGGTTCTCAGATTGTCTGCTTATTCATGGTTGATCTGGGAATTATAATACAATTTATTTAGAACAGAGTTGCTGATTTAGAGGATTAGCAACTGATTGTTCCAAATGAGAGGAATTCACTCTTCCCTAAATCATTAATTTCCATGTGAACGTGAGCAAACTTGAACACTATAATCCAGCTGGCCCTTGTCCCAGTTGAATTGTTTATGCCAATCTCTAAAATCCTTGCTTTGTTCTGTTATCTGTCTTTGATCTTGGACTAACCTATATACTTGCATTCCTGACACAAATAGCCTTTTACAAAGTACCGTAATCTTTAAACTACTGCTATAATTCTGATCTGATCCTGTAGAAATACCATCATTTCCAGGATGCTGAAAAAGAATTCGTTGCAGCTATACCTTCTTATTCCGAAAGGCTTCCAAAACCTAATGCTTTCTTTCTATCTTTTAGAGATCCATCTCTTTATAAGCTCTAACCAACAAAGGTCAATTTTGGAAAATTATCACAGCTGAAATCTAATACATCTGGAGGCTGGAAAAAATAATAAAGCTATACAAAATTTGTACAAGCTAATATGCATCTCATATGATGGCACTCTTATGTGGTTTAACAGAAAAAGCCATAACACCACTTTATTCATATTCCAAACAGGGAAACTCAGGAGGAAATAATTACATCCAAACCCTGTCAGGCAATGTTCAACCAGGCCATCTAAACCAGTAGTCGCCAACCAGTGGGCCAGGAACCACTGGTGGTTCACGAGAAAATGTTTGTGGTCCACAGAGAAATGTTACCCCCAAAGCACTTCCCCCAAAGCAATTAATCCAGGCTGCACTGGAACACAAGGATGCACCACCCACATGGCCCACCCACCCACTGGCCCCTACCCTTCGGCCAAGCGCAAATCTTACCTTGAGTAGAGCTATGTGAGCTGGAACTGGAAAGTAAGACTAATGGTGGGGGAGGGAAATCCACCCTGGGGTGGCTTGCTGACGTTGGTGGGGAAGTCGGTCCCATATTCAAAGCTGCAGTAGTCACAAGACTGGCCCTTTGGTCATCCTGGAGCAGCTCCTCCAGTCCATGGCAGGCCGGTGCACCTGGGTGGAGGAGCTGCTGCTCTGGGATGACCAAAGGGCCAGTCCTGTGACTACTTCAGCTCTGGAATATGGGACCAATTTTTCCACCGTCGGCAAGCCACCGTCAGTCAAAATTCATATTAGTGGTCCGCAGGATTTAAAATTATGAGTTTGGTGGTCCCTGAGATCCAAAAGGTTGGTAACCCCTGATCTAAACTGATCACACTAAATTATGATCCAGTTCATTGCATGGATTACAACAGAACCTCCTCCATGAAAATAAAAAGAAACTATTATACAAGGTACAACTGTACACAGGTAGTCCTCAATTTACAACCACAACTTAGCCCAAAATTTCCATTGGTAAGCAAGACATTGATTTATCCCATTTTATGACCTTCTTTGCCACAATTGTTAAGTTAATCACTGCAGTTGCACAATAATATTTGTTGTGTATTTGCTGTCCCTGGCTAAAAAAAATTCCCTGCATGCAATGAATCTGACACTGACATTGCTTGACAGAAGTTTGCAAATGGTAGTCACATGACCCCAGGACACTGCAACTGTCATAAATACATGATAGTTATCAAGTGTCCAAATTTTAATCAGATGATCAAGGGGACTCTTAGGTGGAGGTGAGGATTCCCTGCATGGATTGTCCCTGTGAGTATGTAGGACAAATGGGGAAGAAGCTAACCACCAGATTGCAAGAACACAGGTGAGTGGTCAGACGAGGAGATTTAAACTCATTGATAGCCTCACATTGTAATGAACAGGGGCATACATTCAATTTCACTGCTAATAAGTTTGTTAGCCAAGCAGGTACAAAAACAGCCAGGGAAATATTTGAAGTCTGGGCCCCTTCTCAGTCAACAGGAGTGCTGATTTACCACCAGGTACTTAGGAGCTAAGGACTTGACTGCACAAGGAAACTAAATAGCTGGTAATCAACACCCCAATCAACCAATAAGAAGCCACGCCCAACCAGGCACCACATAAATATTACACATAGAATAGCCAAAGTACACATTCTGGTAGTGAGAAGTTCCCTGAGGATGGGTTCCAGCACAAGTTTAAAAATTCGAAAAACTAAACCTTTGGTCCTGTTAGGAATGTAAGTCACCTAACAGCTATTTGGGTTGGACAATATATAAACCAGGATAGACATTTTAATACTGTCTCTTTAAGAAAATGCAAAACTGTAATTAGGTATGGTTTCTCAAACGGCCATAAGATGGAGCCAGAAACCTGGGTTGTCTTAGTCTTAGTCTCAGAAGAAGTCTCAGTGTGTCTGTTTCCTTCTGTTGGAGAGTGCTTATTTTGAACTTTGCTTAAACGTTTCTGGAAGTAAAAAACCTACATTTACTGTACAATGTATCTGTGTGCTATGTGTGTATTATTCAAACACTACTCTCAAATACGTCTCCCTGTGTGCGCTCATTCTCCTAACGGGGAATTACTCAACAGGTCCTGGTAACCAACCCAGATTGGATCCACTCATAAGTGTGAAAATGGTCATAAGTCACTTTTTTCAGTGTCACTGTAACTTCAAATTGTCACTAAATAAATGGTTGTAAATTGAGGACCTCTGAGAGAATTGACGAAAAAGAAAGGTCAAAGACAGTCATTCTAGTAGAGTATGTAACTTCCTTAATAAACTTTCCCTTTGAAGAAAAAAAAATCACTTGGATCTCAAGCCTGTCTCTATAATGATGCTCTTAATAGATTTTTTAATACTGACAGCACTTAACGAAGTGGAAGATTCCAAACAAATTTTTCTCTAATGAAAAACCTTTCCAAAAATATCTCAGAATAGTACAGGGAGAAAGCTTTGAAGTGAATCAATCCAATCTAACCGTGATGGCGAACCTCTCGCATGTGTGCCGGAAGTGGCACGCAGAGCCACTTCTGCCGGCACGTGAGAGGTCACCCAGAAGAGCCCCACTGTACATGTGCATGTGCCGCTTGCCTGACAGCTGATTGTTGGGTATCTGGCATGCGTGCACGGGGGTACATGGGAGATGCGCGTACATGTGCAGAGATGTGTGGGACGTGCGGGGGGGTCTTGCTCACATGTGCAGAGATGCACAGTGCACGCAGAGGGGTTCACATGTGCATGCACAGGGGGCATAGGGGGCAGTGCGCATTGCCTTCTGGGTGCTGGCGTACGTGCAATTTTCAGTATAGGAGCCAAAAATGGTTAGCCACCACTGCAATATAACATAAATTCAGTCATTTGTAAATCTTTCATGTTATATGGAATTATGAATGAATTCTTACTTACCTAAAAGTGCATTTTTTCCATGGTCATCTGGCAGAAATCTTTTATCAACAGCACAGACTAGAATATGCTCAGGAAGATTTGGAGACTTAGCTCCAACCAACAGGAAGCCTGGTGGGATATCAATCTGTTCCATACGCAGCGATACTAATCGCAAATCTTTGCCGGCTTGACAAAAACCTGAAAAGAAAGGATACGTCATGAAACAACCATTTAGAAAAACTTCCAAGTGCATTGGTCACTCTGGGCTTCGTACTTCTAAACCCTTCCCCTTTCATGAAATAGCTACCTGGTTCATCAGTTTATCATGGGGAAAGAATACTAGATGAATTACTTACCGTATTTGCCGGCGTATAAGACGACTGGGCGTATAAGACGAGCCCCCAACATTTCCACTCAAAATATAGAGTTTGTTATATACTCGCCGTCTAAGACGACCCCCGCACTTGGAGGCATGTTTTTCAGGGTAAAAAAGTCATCTCATACACCGGCAAATACGGTAAGTTGTAACACTTGGGGTATTCTGGATATAATTCTTGATTGACACCCCCGCCCCTTTCCCCCAAACTTACAAAGCCACCAAAATGCTTTAGAGAGGCAGCTTTGCCTTTCTCAGGCTGGCACTCAATTCCTCTCCCTTTCTTTGTGACAGCCCCCGCGTGCGTGCCATCGGGACTCCAAGGGTGGGGGATGGACAGCTGCCAACTCTGTGTGTGTGTGTGTGTGTGTGTGTGTGTGTGTGTGTGTGTGTGTG